GATTTGTCAATTTCAAAGCCCAACATTATTATAACACTCAAATGGAAGGTTTTGCTACTTCACTATAGTAGTGATTGTACCAATGATTCAGGAGTTTTATGCGAACTTGTAGTTTACCACTGATGATCACATCCTTGTGAGAGGTAAGAAAGTTAAATTTTCTAAGAAAAGGATCGATGCTTTTATGGGTTGAGAAATGTATTCCATTGTGAATATGCTATATTCGTGATGACTGATTCATCACTGGATGAAATGATTTCTTTTCTGACTGATGGAAGAGGAGAATGGAAGATTAAAAATAATAAGAAAGTTAACTTCTCTGTTTCCATGATGACTATTCAGTCAAAGGTATGAAACCATATCATCTCTGCTAAATTAATGTCAACAAATCATCACACCAATGTACCAAAGGATAAAGCTGTGCTAAACTTATGCATTCAGAAAATGAAGACAGTGGATGTTGGTGCTCTCATTATTCATCAAGCTCAGATTATAATTAATAGTACTGCAGCGAGTGGATTGGATTACCCTGCCCTGATTTTCACTTTTTGTGAACAATCAAGAGTAGAATCCCATAGAAATGAAGAAAAACTACAACCACAAAATCCTTTTGGGAAGCATATGGTTCAAGGAGTAGAATCATTTGTTGAGTCTAGGAGTGGAGGTATTGATAGACCCTCTACATCAGCTGTAGGGGCCTCTACATCTCGCTCTGCTTCACTTGGAAAAATTATGGAGCAGCTTATGATTCAACAAATGGATATAGTTATTATGCAGAATCAAATTGGAGAAAATAGAGCAAAAAATGCTTATAATGATGAGTATAAGGAGAGGAGATTTCAGCAAGATATAGCTTTTAAGGAAGTTATGGTTAGATATCTTAGGGGTGAATACAATATGGAATTTCCAACTTGCCCCAACTTTGCTCCTTATGCTTCTAATCATGATGAAGAAGAAGAAGAAGAAGAAGATGATGTTAAGGAAGGAAGTAAGTACTGATATTCTTAGAAGTTCTATTTATTTTGTTTGTTTACCTGCTATTTTTTATTATGCTGTTATTTGTTGTCATTTGAAACAGTTGTGTTAAAAACTTTCATTTGATGTTATGGACCTATATTGTAATAGTAACAGTAGATTTTTTTACTTTTTATGCATTTTTAGTATTCTTAGTTTTTGTTTCTATTTTTAATTTTTAGCAAATCCTTTAGAATATATTATGTTTCATTTAATGCTTTAAATTATGTATGTATTTTTAAAGTTAGTACCTGCAGTATAACAGAGCCTAGTTCATACTCAGAATTCCTTTACATGTTAGTTTTTATTTTTATGTATTTACTGTTTTCTTTCACCTACTACATTTTGTACTAAGACATGTTTAAATTGCTTAAAAACTTATGTTTGGGGGAAATAAAAATTTCTTTTAAAAAAGAAGTAAACTAAATTTTAATTGTCCTCAATTAGCTATAGTTCTAAAATTATTTAACATGACTTAGGATATTAAGATTTAACTTTAAATGACTATACTTATGTTTATTATACTTATGTTTATGATGTTTATGAATATTATGATAAATTTAGATAAAAGTTTTTAATAATGAAAGTCAATTTTGTAAGTTAAAGATATTTGGTATGAAAAGATAAGACTATGTTTTTCTATTTAAAGTAAAGGAAATTATATTTTTGAAGTATTAAGAATTTTAGAGTTTCATGTAAGAAGAAAAGAATGAAACTTTAAGAAAAGTCATAACCTAATATGAATTTATAAGGTGAATAAAGGTAAGGAGTTTAAACTTTAAGAAGGGGATAGTGAAGTTCAAATTTATTAAAGGCTATCCAGATATAGTAATCTTCACTTGAAAAAGAAAAAGAAAAGAAAGGATTGAAAAGATCCTAAAAGAAAAAAAAAAGAAAAAAGAAAAAGGAAAAAGAAAAAAAAAAGAAAGAAAGAAAAGAAAAGGAAAAGAAAAGAAAAGAAAAATGAGTGAGGAGAAGGTTGAGGGGAGAAGGGAGGAGATGCCTAATAAAAAATTGGGTTCACTTGAATCAACTTAAGGAAAAAGTTTTATTACATTTTCTAAACTTGCATTGAAGTATTAGTAGCATTACTAGTAAAATTTTCATGAAGTTCTTTTTCATATGAATGTTCTAAGTATCCTTAATATGACAAAATGCAATATTTCTTAAAATGAGTAGAGATTCAAAAATCTTAAATTTGATTACTAAGTACGCTTAAACTTAGAGTTTGAATCTAAATTATTAAAAGTTTTTCTTAAATATTACTATTATATTTATTAAACTAAAGCATAGGAGTAATAAGTTAATCTCTATCCTAAGTCATATGCTTTTATGTAGTAAAAGTGTCACTTGAGGACAAGTAACATTTAAGTTTGGGGGATTTTGATACACCAAAATAATATGTTATTTTAAGTATACATTTTATGCTTATTTTTTTTGATATTGCACTTAAAAAAAAGGGTATTTTCATGTTTTTTTATTACAGGTATATCAATTTTAGGCATTTGGAGCAAAAGTAGCAAAAAGGACAAAATTTGGAGTCAAAACAGCAAATTTTGGGAATTTTGGCGCCAGATTAGTGCTAGATGCGTCATTTTATAGAAAGTTGGAGCCAAATGTGTCAGATTGGCACCAGACGTGTCATTTTATAGAGAGTTTGTGCCAGATGAGCTAGATTGGCTCTAGATGCGTCATTTTACAAAGAGCTGGCGCCAGATGCGCCAAAACCCAAAAGAGCGTGGAATTTAGCAAGTTGGAGTCAGATGCGCTATAACTGGTGCCAGATTTGCCAAAGACGACTTTTTGTGGACTAAGGTGGCTCCGGAAAAATTTTGCATGAATTTTCAAAAGGACACTTGTTCTAAACACCCCTTGGAGTGATTGAATGCATCTAGACAGTTTGGAAGGTTTTTTATGAAGGGATATGTCTCTTAGATCAAGGGGCATGTCTTTGGAATTCAAAAGAGTTGACTTTTTGATGTAATTTTAGAGGAAATTTTAAATTCTTTTTTGAGGGAGGTGACCTTTAATAAAAGAGAGGGAAGTCTAGGGTAAAAGAGAGGTTGAAGTGACGTGAAAGGGGGGTGAAAGAGAGAAAGAGAGAAAAAATCAAGGGCTTGAAGATTTTCTTCAAGTATTGTAAGAGGAAAGGGAAGGTGAGAGATTTCTTCTTCATTACACTTCTAAGAGAGAATTGAGAGTGCATGTAAGAAGAGAAAGACTTGAAGAGAACTTATAGGGATTTGCTTGGGAAGGATTGTGAGATAAGTTGTGTTTTTTATTTCTTTTATTTTATAAACATGTTTTTATATATGAAATTTGTGTTTTTTTGTATCTTGTTGACCTCAATTTTGAAGTCTTCCTTTTCCTTTTTTAAGATACCCTAGGATCTAGCCTTATGATTTTTTTTCTATTTTGACTCTCATAGAGGACTAAACTAGGACCTACAATATTTAAAAATTTGAGTCATTTCTTCGCTCTTTGAAGTTTCATATGAACGATTTCAGATTCTCAACATTCGATTGAGTCGATTGAAAAACCGACATATCGAAGCTCAAATTGAGCTCCTATAGGAACTTGAAAGACATAGGTGGACCCCACGGCGTTCAACGTCTCACTTTCTGCCAAGAGCAATATGTTTAACTATGGTTGTCGTTTAAGTGAGAACCAGTCATCAATTTGCTCGTTAAATCGCTCCAATTGGACCAAAATAGCTTCTTTTGCCGCAACACACACAAATTAAAGTTAAATTGGTACGATATTCGACGAATTTGTTCGAGTGAGCCTGGATGATGAAACGAACCGCTCCAATGCGTTCAGAATGTTGATTTTAGCCTGTGAAGGATGTAAATCTTGATAGGGTTCATAGTTAGATTAGATTGTGCATAAATTGATAAATTTTGAATAAAATAATATTTTTTATTATTTAATAAATTCAGTTAAATAAAAAAAACCCACGCCTCCTCTTCTCTCCCTCGCCAAAAAAAAAAAATCGCTCGCTCACGCCTCTTCGGCCGAAACCCTTGCCACTATTTCGGCCAAAATCTCAAAGCTCCTTCCCGATTTTCCGGTCATCTTTCTTCTTTCCGAGCCCTAACCGACTCTCGCCGCCGCCGGTTGCTTTGTCGATAACCATTCTCTAACGGATTTTCTCGCCCAAATGAGTCTGGGTACCTTCCTTGTCAATCTTGGTCGGTTTCTTCCCCTCTGTGGCGTATTTCCCCCCCCCCGCCAGTCTTCACCGGCGGTAGCCTCATCGGTAAGCACCTCTCCTTCTCTCGGCTATAAATACCCCCTCTCTCGATGTCTTACGGGATCTTACCTCGACCCCCGATCAAACTCACTCAAGTTGTGCGATTTTTTTTATTCAAATTTATTTTCTCTTCTTCAATCATTTGAAGGATCGTCTCGCTTGACTCTTTTTGATCCTAAAATCCCGTTAGTCGTTCACATTCCTCTTTCTCCACTTTCTTGGATTGGTGGAATACTTTGTTCAGTAAAATTTTCTTCCTCCGACTTAATTTAATCATACAGAGTTTCTTTCTCTTAATGCTTGTTTTGATCCGTATGGATTGTGAATGGATTTTATGTTTGGTTTTAATGAGTGAATTTAAAAATTTGCTCATGTTCATGAATTAGAAAGAACGCATTGAGGTGTTCAGGTTCCTCGTTTTGTTGACGGTTCATGAGAGCATGTTCAAGATTTCGTTAATTGTTTAAGCTATATGTGGTGATGTGCTACTCTTGCTCACTCTGCTGATAATCATTGAGGCATATATTCTTATAAATGCTTTTCTCATCCAAGGTTGACGATCTATTGTTCGATTCTGCAGTAAGTCTCATCTTAACTATATATATCACTTTCGCCTTACATCTCGTTCTACAAGGTTTTATTTTACTGGACCAGCTGGTCTCAATAATACCACTATTCTAATTTTGGAAGATTTACGCATATACCATTTAATTCTTATTTATTTACTTGTCTAAGGGATTAAATGGCAATTTTTTTTACATATATGCCACCTTTTCTGCTTTGATGAAAATGTGTTTCACTGTCTAAAAGTTTAAGCAGTAATACTTTTGATGTAATATGAACGATTCGGGTGGTTTAAATATAAAATGTAAAGTCTAAGTTTTAAATATGTAAATATGTAATTATTCTTTATTGGTTATTTAACTTGGTGATCTTTGCCAGCATGTTAAAGTTGAATTTCCAAGAAATGCATAAGTTGAAATCCTGGAGGAATGTTGATTTAATCCTTGGAGTATTGCTGGAATTGGCTTTCTTGTTTACATGAATCTTTCTTTATTTGGTGTTAATCTTTCAAAAGTATTACAGTTATAAAAAAAAAAAATGGTGAAAGAAAGCAAGAACCTGCTACTTCAAGTCTTTCTCCGATTATCAATTGGTGTCTTTAATATTGATGTGATTTTAATTCTATAAATCATGAAAGATCTTACAATTTTTGTAGGTCTAAAACATCCTATTCTATACGAGTTCTTGGTTTGACTTATATTTTTTGAATTCTTTTCATATTCAGTTTACATCATTTGATTGCTCAACAAGAAAGTTTAGCTTTCCTTGCAGGATTATGGCTTCAAATTATTAAGCAGTGGAAGTTTTTTTTTCTTTATTCTTTACTTTCTCGGCTAAAAAAAAAAAATTAATTCTTGTTACATTTTGAAATCAGAATCGAATTGGTTTTGAGATTATGAATTGTTGTCTCCTTAAGTGGCTAGAATTTGATTTGGTTTTTGTATATGTTCATATCTGGAGTGATCATAATCCCTATATATATCTATATTAGTTTCCTGAGTTTTGTCGCCTTTCACAGCGGCATACTTACCGTGGATTCATTTTTTTTTAACGTATTCTTCCTTGCTCGATAGTATAAATTACTTGAGGAGAACTTGTTTAGAGGACATATTATTGATTCTTTTCATATGCCTTTATTTGGATGTCTGTTTCAAATATTCCACTAAATTTAATGAAAGTTTTAGGTACATACCACTTATTTCCTATGCATTTATATATTTCACAGACTTCGTTTCCTTTTTAATACTTATGCAACCTAAATTCTCTCGAATCGTGGAATTCGCCTACCTGTTTGTTTTGTTTTTGTGATTCTTGCGAGGTACATCGATAGGTGGACTGGACACCGACGCCTTGTAGCAAGCAGCAAGGACTTCATCAACCTTCTGGACGCCGGGGAGTTTGCAGGGTCCAAAAATTAAATAATGAAGAACTCTCTAGCATCGAGTGCTTGCTTCTTTTAGACGACATTGAGAGTCCAGAATTGTTCAATCTCCCCTACACTTCAATAGTACATATCCCTGGAAGCTTCTATGATATGCTTGGAGAATGCAAGGAAGAAATATATCCAAATTGGTTCCCTTTGCCTAACAGGAAGTTTAATTCTTGATGGTATCCATGATCCAAGTTATCTTGGCACACTAATAAGGTTATTTGTGGCTTTCAAATGATGTGACATTTCCCTTTGTGGTATTCCTCTCTTATGTCGACGTCTGTGCTTAGTAGAGAAATAACATTAACGTCTGTTGCTTCCTCTATCTTCCAATTTGGCTCAATACTTGTACCAAGTGATTTGGAAACTAGTTTTCTTGTATCCTTCTATAATTATGCTATATATTTTTTCGTTGGGAGATGAACATATTTTGCTTTGAATATAAATATACTTGGGAAGACTTTCATACATACCACTCAAATTCCTATATATTTACA